ACAATCCCTTTAATCTTTAATAAATATGCTACCAAGACCTACAGTTATCATATATTATCTGGATTAATGTGTGTTTATGTGGTCTGCAGGTTCCACAGTGACCTCTTTTCTCTCCTCCTCCTTCTTCTTCATTGCACCAGAATGGAAGAGGTCAGAGGTCAAACAGAGGAAAAGGTCAAGAAAGAGACGAAGGTTCATGGCTGTAAGAGTGACAGATGGAAAATAATTGGTTTTTCGAAACAGTGAGCGGCAGAGCGAGACCAGGCGTGTTAATCTGTGTCTGCGCTATTCTTAGCTAGTCCCATCGGCCGGCAGAAATATGAGAGACACACGTGATGACGAACGCTGATAAATTTAGAGAGAGGGTCAGAGAACGGTGACACGACCTCCAGACCACTGCTGAACTCCAGATGTGTGCACTGCTTGTATGTACAACATGTGTGTGTTTGTGTCTGGAAGTGTGGAGGAGCTGCTCTGAGGGTGCAGAGTCTTCTTCCTGAGTTTTTTTGTCTTTTTTTAAGTGTTTATTTCTGTTTTATGTTGGGTTTTTTGTTTTTGGTTGGTCCCATCAACACTGTGTTCATGTTTGAATATCAGCCTCTTGGTCTTGTGTCACAGTCAGTTCAGATGGACTTTACACGTAGTGCAGTCACCTGAACTCAACAAACTGTAGAAACTGAATACATGGCGCCCTCTAGTGGCTACAGCCTGAAACACATTTCCTGGAAAAAAGGAAAACAAGTCCAAGAACTTTGTTTTGACATATAATTATGTCAAACTGCTGTCAGTGATACTACTGACAGGTTAACGGTCAGTTTACTCAATAGTTCATCATGCTTTATCATAAAAAGTAATAACAATACATGTCTTCGCCAAATGAATCCACTTCCTGTTAAAGTTTTATAACATATTCTGATTCCACAACATCCTGCCATCATGGTCAACTTATATTTAAATAATTGTAAAAATACTTTCTGCACATCCATAAACTGTAAAACTAACTGCAAAGCAAATAAATGAAGTAATTTTTCAGCAGAAAAAAACAACAACAAACAAATAAAAAACTACAAAACAAAAGAAAATTCATTTAAGATGCATTCAAATACATTTTCTCATCTTAATTTTACATTAGATCACATGCATATTCAGTAGTATGAATAATAATAATAATAATAATAATAATAATAATAATAATAATAATAATAATAATAATAATAATAATAATAATTTCCTCATTTCCTAACTGCATCTTGACTAGTAACAAACAAATTCCCTTACAGAGATCAATAAAGAGTTGTTGTTTAGGATTTAGATTGTGATTTTACACCTCGACTTTGGTCAATAATTTTATGTGGGATACATATGCTAACTGCTTTTTTATTTTTATTTTTCATTTTTCATTTGTCTGATCAGAAAGTGAAGTGACCCAAGACACACGCAGAAACAGACCGATTTGTTATCATTTGATTTCATTGTCGAACTCGACCGTGTTGACTCCACTCGTCTAGAAAACTTGTTCAGTCAACGTTTAACCACCGAGTGAAGTAGTTTCCTGCAGTTCGACAAAAGATTGCAGCAGATTCAACGATTCAAGAATCAACGATGGCGAAGTTTAACCGACCAGGTGAGACGGGTTGCACGATCGATTAGATCTGTCATCGATTAGTTAGGCTTATTAAAGGAACCCAGATGGCACGTTTGTTTTAAAAGCTCATTTTTTAACTTTAGGTTTCCTATATGTGCTAGTATCTTTTAACCAGACCATGCATGTTTTTGTACGTTATTTGTTTTTAATTTGTCGGTATGCATTTTGTATCTTAGACATGCTAATACTGATTTTGCCTTGTAGTGTCCCCAGATTGTAAACTAAACTTTTTGCAAACTAAATGTATTCACTCAGATATTTTACTAAAGCTCCATTTTTAAAGTACTCGTGCCTTTCCTGAATACTTTTATTCACTGCCACTTCATGCTTTATTTAAACTAAAGGCTAATTTTATAATTTGCGCAGCCTTGCTTGACAGCAGATGATTACTTAATTTGAAAAATAACATTTTGCCCAAAAGCTGTTTAAGTAAATAATTAATCTGTGCTCATACTCCTGCATCAGTAACAATAACAACACAATGTAACTAAGGCAGAATAAGCACGTTTTACTGTGATTTCTGTTACTCTTTACCATTAAAGTGTCATTTGTTGACGACACTAAAGCTCTTAATTACATACATACATTTTTGCAAATTCAGAATTTACACAAAACAACTGATTTGCTTAATCAGCTCATTTGCCATCATGCTGATGCATCAGTATCAATAATAAAATAATGTAACTGATACAGAATGATCGTATTTTGCTGTAATTTCTTTATGTGTTTTGTTGACAATACTAAAGCTCCTGAATTCATAAACCTCTTTTAAAAAATGCATCACGTTTACTTCAGTGAAGAGTCTTCACCACTGCTTCATGGCAAAAAGTCAGCTGGTGGCACATTTGGGGACATGGAAACATAATATCTTAACCATATATATTTAATATGTGCAGTTTTTTGGTATTCTGACAGCTTTCCTGTCTGTCTCGTCTCTCAGCTTGGATGCAAACAGTCACTTGCCTGAATGCTTTAAAAAGTGACGACAATGGATACTCTGCATGTGGTCTTACTAAAGTCCTCTGGCAAAGGCGATACGCTTACTTTCCATCCTGGGACAACTTTGAGCTGGACTGCGTCTCCTACTCACCTTCTCAGCCTGCTGTTTCTGAGTCCAGGCCCTGCAAATCCACACCAGCTCCTGGAGGTCTCAGCACATCAGCCGACTCTCCTCCCACGAAACAAGACTCTCCTCCTCTGGTGAAGGTTTCCTGCAGCCTGAACAGTGATGCTGAAGCTCCTTCTTGCATGAATCAAAGCAATGAGCTCGCAGACAGCAGCTGGATATTGAGGACTCTGCATAAGGTCACGTTCGGCAAAAGCTACCTTGAGCCCTATACGTATCAAGGCTACGAGACTGTCGGTCACAGATACCTTTATGGTCCCCCGACTAAAATATCTGGATTTGTGGATGAAGGCTTCACATATTCCCAGACTCATCCTGATCAACTGAGGAGTCAGAGGTCACTTTGCTGGAAAATGAAGAGCAAAACACCTCCCTGTGCTGTGAGTACACTAACTCCTCCTGCTAATCTGTTTGCTGAAACCAAAGATAATTTCTGCTTGCCAAAACTTAAAAGGCCTCACATTTACTTTTAGGTCGAGTCAAAGCTGAAAGAAGCAAAAGAGCCTTCAGCTGAGATAATCCAGAACCACGGAGAGCCTGTTGAATGGAAGAAGAAGGAAAATTCACTGTGAGCATATGATTTCTTCCATTAACCAAAGATTTTTGGTTAAATAAATTCATTAGCATAAAGAAATTGAAGTGTTTTGTGAACATTTTGACACATTAATGGAAAAATATATAAAAGTTTAACTTACTAAAGTTGAACTCAACCACAATGTGCATTAACTTTTCATGTTACTGCATAAAATTAGAGGTAAAATATGGTAAGATAAACTTTACTGATCCCTTACTGGAGAAATGTCGATGTTACAGCAGCTGAATGCAAATAAAGCACAGGAAGAAATAAGACAAAAAAAATAAAAATAAAAAATACAATGTGGATAGAAATAAAGGTAATAATAAAGACTATGTACATCTTTCACATGTATAGATTTGTCAGGATGGATCATGTTCCCAACTGTAGAACAAACTGTGTGTAGAATTGTATCTAAGTTTATAAAGACCAACATTTCTACATTTTTGTTATTGCGCTCAAAATGTTATAGAGATTATGTTGCTGCACTGGAAGATCTGTAAAGAGAAAAAACTGTAACACACATACTGTAAGTAATTCATGCATGCAGTATGACATCATGTGGCACTACAATGTATGTGTTTTAGAATTTAAGTTCTTAAAGCTGGGGCTGCAAGGTGGCTCAGTGGTTAGCATCGTTGCCTCGCAGCTAGAAGGTCGCTGGTTCATGTCCCAGTGAGGACACTCGGGATTTTTCTGCGTGGAATTTGCATGTTCTCCCCGTGCAGCGTGGGTTCTCTCCGGGTTCTCCGGCTTCTTCCTCCCACACAGTCCAAAGACATGTTGAGGTTAATTGGTGATTCTAAATTGTCTGTAGGTGTGAATGTGAGTGTGCTTGGCCTTCACCCTGAGTCAGCTGGGATAGACTCCAGCCCCCCATGACCATAGTGAGGATTAAGCGGTGTATAGATAATGGATGGATGGATGGATTTGTAGGATCTACAATGTGGGTGCAATGTTTATATTCTTCTGTGCCTGATCAGAACCAAATTCATCCTGCAGTAGGACCCTGAACATCCTGCCAGAGTCACAAAGAACTAGAACTTGAGTCCTCGGCAGATGGTGGAGGAACCAGACAGCTCTGAGCTCAACATCATAGCGTCAGACATAAAGAGACAGAAAACACTGAGACAGACTGAACCCACAGAGGAACTGTGGCAAATTCTTCAAGACGCTTGAAGCAGCCCGTTTGCCAAAGACAGAGAAAAACTGAGAACTGCTGATGGCCCCGAGTGCTGATGTGACTGTTTTTTCTCTTTAATGTGTAGTTAGTTATGTGAATGAGTTACTTCATTGAGTTAACCATGTCGACTCCCAGCAGCAGTTTACTAAGAGTTGCTGCTTGTTAGTTTTTTTTTTTTTTTTTAGATGTTTTACAAATCAATCAAGTGTATAAAATCAGCTGCGACAGTAAAATGCTGTTTACACATGAATGCCTGAGCGATAATTTAATTATATATGACAGTCACAGGATCGCCTTTTACTTTAGATTTTTTAAATTGCATTTCCTGATTTGCGTACTTTGATTTGATCAATGCAGGACTTTCAAACTGTAATGGAGTATTTTTACAGGAAGGCTTTTTTGTAAAACGTCTGAATAATTCCTTGAATCTATATCGCTGCATTTCCAAGAATGACCAACAGGAGGAGCCAGACTCTTAAAAATACACATTTATTTTTTATCACAGAACTGTTTTAGGTTGAAATTTAAGTAACATTTTAATGGTCTATGTCCCATAACAACCAAAACAAAAAGTACAGAAGGAGGGACCAACGTTGTGCTTTTAAACAAGCAGGCTGTTAGGATGTAGACAGCTGGTAGTATGAAAAATGTGTACATTTAAAGCAGACTTTAAAAAATAAACAGCATCAAAAGGCCACAATAATGCGATACACAAAAATATAACACTGACAGGCCTTTTATCCCAAAGTCAGAGCTCAAAAACACTAAAAACTAGTCCTGGTATAAAACTTGTCTTTCATGAGAACACATTAAATGAGAAATGCTTTCTTAAGAATGAGATTTAAAAAACTCACTCACTCACTTACAATGGCACATTTCATATCACATCACTGACAGCTGCATATTCTTTTGCATATTTACGTTGCGTTTGAAATACACGGTGGCAAAATCTTTTGTGTTTTATCAGGAAGACACAGTAAAAGAAAACACTTCACATGTGACTAATGTTTAAGTCCAACTGAAGCAGAAGAGGATGTTTTCAGACGAACCCAACAGAACCAGGCTGCTAACGACTAAAACTACAGACGCTCGCTAAGACGGTGACGATTCAGCAGGAAGGTTTCCAGACAGTCAGCGCCCAGTTTACCCATTAAAACCTCGTCTTCAGGGTTCGGTCCGTCCTCACATTCTTGTTACAAAGAGGGTTAAAAACACAAGTGACCCGGATGAGAACACTGAAAGCAGAGCGGAGCGGTTCGTTAGCCGTCTGATGGGTCATGACTTCCCTTCAAAGTTCATCATTTTCCCGTGTTGTCTTTGTGTATTTGGCTTGATCAGATTAAAAAGCTGCGACAGTCCAGAGTGATGTAAGCAGTCACGTTTCATGTCTGATGTGCAAACGTCATCAAAAAAAATACAAACAAACTTGAGGATCACAGCTTTCCAATTAAATGTACTGAGTAGTGAGGACGAGTCACGAGGCAGCGTCTAAAAGCCACGTTTATAAAAACCTGTTTAAGACTATTTACACACCATCAGACTGGTTTATGTGATTTCTAAGAATGTGATTGTTCCAGAGTTTAGTGATGAAAGCGTTATGCGCTCTAACGTCATTAGTTTTTAGAATTTTGTGAAAAAGACCATTTTAGAGACGAGGCTGTAGGATACTGGTGTAAAGGTCGTCTTCGTTGCCATGGAGACGATGGTCAACACGCCTCCTGCTCTCTTCTGTGACGAGTCCACTACTGATTTTAAACACTTTTGGTTTTGATTTGTACAAGCTGTTTGATCAGCGCTATCGATTAGTAAACGTCCCGCATAAACACAAGTGTAGGCCTTGTGCTGCTGAGTTTGGAGGAAATAAAAATATTCAGTAACATATTTCAGCTTCTGTCGGCTGGATGAGTCTCTGCTGTGGAAGACTCTCTAGTCTTCTAGTCTGCTGTGCCGTCTCCTCTCAGGTGTTGAAAGCTTCTCCCATATACGACAGGGGAGGTGTTGGAGGGTGTGGTGGTCAAATCTACATCTACTGAAGGTTCTACTGGACACTTTAGACGATGGCCCGGAAAGCGAAGGAGACTGCAGCGCCGAGCGCCAAGCCGAGGGACAGGAAGAAGGCCATGATGGCTCCTGCAGTCTCTGCCTCGTGCTGCGCCACCTTCCTGCAGGGAGACGACAGAAGTAGTTTAGGAACGAGAGCTTCACCATGAAAACACACCGAGGACACAATGTGTTTGTTTTAAAGAAGACAAAAACAAGCTGAGGGACACTGTAGCTGCAGGTCGACTGGTTGGTCCATATGCTCTGGTCACTGGTGTTGAGACAAGCGCTACATGAACGAACCTCCAGGATGGAGGAGGGAACACCACCGTGGTTTCACAACCTGTTGGAGACTGCTAGGTCTAACTTTTTTAACTTTTACTGAATGTTTATTCAAAGTCAGCTCCAAACTAACAGGCAGCGTGTCAAAGTTGTCGCCGGTGTGGCTGATATTAGAGTTGCCCAAAAAATCTGAGTGTAAACTTTGCACACATCAGTTTGCATGTAAACACAGCAGCCCAACTTGTCTGCATTACATTCCTCAATAGTTCTGGTGCTGGGATCTGCATCTGATAAAGTTCTGTGTCTGGAAATCATATGACTATGAGCAGGTGGTCTGCTCTGAGGCTGTTGGTATCATTTCAGGATAAAAAAACATATTAAAATGATTTAATATGCTGCAAATACTAGCTTTACATGTTTATTTACAGTTTATTTAGGCTAATAAGGAGATCATGTGCTGACTTTTTCTACTGCGACAATCAGTTAGTTGGACTTTATGATATACATTTTGCATCGTATTGTGTTTTCTATTCTGATCTGTGTGTGGGTTGAAACAAATGGTACAAATGTAGCGCTACACGCTGAAGCCTTGTGTAGCTCTTCTGCTTATTTTGAGTTCATCTTGAAGTTTTTAAGGTGCTTGTAGATTTAACACACTGGCATGAGAGTGATCTCAATCTTCAGCCACCTGCCAAAACCAACATCCACATCTCCTACGAGTGTCAAGGCTGTGTGTGTCCTTACTTGGGGCCGAAGCACATGCAGAGGCTGGCCAGGTACCCGTTGGAGAAGGAGAAGAAGATCATGAAGACGATGTACCAGGCGTCGTGATGGAACAGCACGGGGAGGTAGTTACGAGGCTGAACGTTGCATAGCATGAAGAGAGGGATGAAGACGACCCGCAGGCCCACCAGGACGGGAAGCCAGATGCTGTCTTTACCCGGCTGGAGATGGAGAAACACACAGTTAACGATACACGAGGACAGACAAGGACTCACAACTGCAACAACACAGACGCACACTTTGGATGTTTTTATTTCCCACATATGCTATGAACGCATAGTGAACATGTACAGATCACTACAGGCCGGTGCTTGCAGGCAAGTGATCTGGGGTTATGCAATCTATAACTGTAAAAAGGTTTTCATCAGGAAAGTTGTTGCACCAGTTTGTCATATGTCAGGGTGGCTGCTTTACTCTCTTATATAAATTCTAATGTTTTGTGGATTTGAGTCAGACTAAGCAAGTTATCTCAGGCGTCACATTGGTCTCTGACAACGTGCAATGAGCATCGTTCACTATTTTTTGACAACTAATCCAAAAAAAAAAGAAGCATATGATGTATTAACCTTGGATATAATTGCAGTCGTTCAACACTAAAGTGTTTTTCTGTGGACGAACAATCCCGAAAATGTGCGTATAAATAAAACTACAAACATGTTTCCTTTCCTGAGAGCTTTAAACTGTTACATGACTCTGAATATTACGTGGCAAAGCTTAGCTCTATAACAATTTGTCTCAGCTCAACAAACAAGGTTAACAGTCTAATCTGTCTCTTAGTAGGAGAAACATGGACCTGCTCACTTAAAGACACGACTGACCAAAGAAGCTGACAGCCTCAGTTGGCAACCGTTGGGATCCTGGTCTGATGATAAATAAACTCACATGGTCCTCCAGCAGCTGACTGCCGTTATCTGCACTAAGAAGCTGCATTCCTGTGCAGGTCAGTCTGTGTCAGCGAACTGTACTCAGTCTGTAGCAGGATAACTTGGTTAAATTGGATGATTTCCTCTGAATCGCAGGAAAGTTTTGCTATTTTCTGAATAAATTTTTCAAAAGATGTGGATTTATGTTTTACCAGGAAAGAGGCAAATATTTATAGACAAAAGAAAGAAAACATGATGTTTAATGTATGAGTATAAAGAAAAGTGCTTGTCACAATCAATCCTTTGATTGGAAGTGGCGATGTGGATAATTCAATCCAAAGGAGGCTGGGCTATTTATACACTCTGAATCAGAAGATGCTCAACATCCTAGTCCTGGAGGAGCCTCACCAATAGATTTATTGGTGAACAAAAGAGAGTTTAAAAACACCACTAGAGCATCCATCCATCCATCCATCCATCATCTTTACACCACTTAATCCTCACTAGGGTCGTGGGGGGCTGGAGTCTATCAAAGCTGACTTAACGTGAAGGCAGGGGACACCTGGACAGGTCACCAGTCTATCACAGGGCTGCACTTAGAGACAGACAACCAAGCACACTCACATTCACACCTACGGACAATTTAGAATCACCAATTAACCTCAACATGTTTCTGAACTGTGGAAGGAAGCCCAAGAACCTGGAGAGAACCCACGCTGCACGGGAAGAACATGCAAACAGAAAGAGCCCGGGTGTCCTCACTGGGACGCGAACTGGCGACCTTCTTGCTGCGAGGCAACGATGCTAACCACCGCTCCACCTTGCAGCCCTCCACTAAAGCATGTACCAGAAATGATTTTATGACTTCAATAGACACTGAAGCGTTGCTGAGGGCTTCTTCACCCATCAGTAACCTTCCAGCTGCCACAGGGAGAAGCAGCAAACCTTCAAAATCCACTGTCACTTTTCTCAGACCTCTAATTAAACACGTTCCTTGACACAGAACACACAGATTTCTCTCCAAAACAAACCTCTGATCTCAGCAACAAAACTTGTTTCCTTTACTTTGAGACACTTTTGTTTTTCCACCATTCCTCCCATGACTCATTCGTGGGTAAACATTTGTTGTAGCCAAAGGCCGTCATTAAAACTGTGTCTGCTGTTCATGGCACCACACAGCCACCAGACAACAGGAGATCACCAAACATTTTATTGTGCTTATTTTAAACTATATGGAAAATGTAGTCATCAACAAGAGCGCTTACTGCTTGGTTTCCTCATACAGGGTACATTTCAAGTATAGGTCCCTGTTGTTACTAATTTGTACATTTGAAATATGCTCAAGCAGTAAATGATTGATGCTATTATGAGCAAACGTGTGATTTGTTGCAGGGTAACAACCAGTTCAGTTTGCCTGTGTGCACAAGAACTGTACAGACACAGCTGAGTCAAGCAGGAGGTTAAAACAAGTTCATGATGAACTTCCAGTAGAGGAAATCAACTGACCCCACATCAAAGTTTACGGTTTGTTGGGATCAAGCCTGTAAACTACTTAGGTGGGCTCTAAACCACCAATTGTATACAAAAAGGTGGATATAGTCACGTCAGCCACTGGTTTGTGGACTTGAGTTTGGCATTCGGGTGTTTGGATCTGCCCGGAGAGCCTGAGGACACGACACACAGTGACACAGTAGCCACCTGACATACTCTGCTTTATCATCTATTTGACTCTAAATGACAGCAGAATTTACAAAATCAACATTATGCTGGATTAAAAAAAGTCTTCAGACCACCAACTGAGACCATGAACTCATTAGGAAAATGTTTACTGAGGAAACAAATCCAGTGAGAAGTAGGGTCACTTTCTCATCTACTTCAAAACAGGCTGACTTATCTTTTTCAACCAGAGGAGCTGCCCCCTGCTGGCTGTTAAAAAGAATGCACTTCTGAGTTGGCTTCACCTTTCAGACCCAGAGGCTACATCCATCTCTTACATACAGTCTTACTTATACATGAGCCCGATTACTGGAGTTTCAACCGCAGCTTTTTAGTCTTAAGATGTGATCTGTGAGTGTTTTTTGCGAACATGTTATAGTGTTTTTACTGACCCACATGCAGACGGCCGTCAGACTCCTGCCAGCCCAGTCCATCATGTTGAAGAGGAGGAAACACGACACAGGGATGAAGTAAATATCTGAAAAGGGAGCAAAACAAACCAGCTGTAGATACATTTGTTTGAAATAAAATATGTAGCGCTTCCACAGTCACCCCAGTGGTTCCACTATTCACCACTATCGATAGCTGTCAGGAAAACAAAAGTACTGTCCTCTTTCTCTTCTGATAATTGCAGATGTACTTTATATAATATTTTCCTGGGAAACTTCAAGTGAGGCAGCAGATAGAATGGTATTGTAAGAGTTTAGAGGGAATTAATTGAACTGTCAATGGTATTATTACTCTATCACATTATATTGTGCGATCAATATTGTCTCAAGTCTCACATGTGCCTACACTGAGTCTTTCGGGTTTTTTTTTGGCTCAAAATAGAGCAAAAATGGTGAATTTCATCATGACTTTCACATCTTTACAGCTTCTATTTTACACATTCACACTATAGCAACCATAAAACAAGATAAAATGGAACTTGGGACCTTTAAAGCAGAATAAAGTCTATTGCCACTTTTAAAGACCTGCAGTGAACATCTAGGAACTCTAATTGAATGGATCCATGTGATAAATAGAAGAGCAGAACAGCTAAAGGCTCCAACTAAGTCATTCCATACAACTGTAGGTTTTAAAACCTTCTAACAGATTAGTCAGTCAGGAGTCACCTTCATGTGGTTTGTATTTCATCTGGTGGCATCTCCAGTTTTTAATGACGAATTGTAAATTTGTGTGAACATGCTAAACTAGTCTCGTTCTTCTTGTTACTCGCTTTCTTTTAAAAAAAAGAAAAGAAAAGAAAAAGGGGTACATTGTAGTTGCAAAAACTACCCCACACTACTGCCTGGGTATAAGAGTTCAAAATCTCTCCTTATCTCCTTCTCGCCAGCCATCGCTCTCACGTGTCTGATTATCACTAACGACTGTAACAGTGCATCTCTGTGAAAAGGGAAGAAATGCAGACTCACCCCAGGCGCCTCCATTTGCTACTGTCGACTTGACGTCGACGGTCACGGCTGGGAAAGTTCCAATGGTGACGGTGAAGATGAAGCACACTGACAAAGCCATCACCCAGATCTGATTAGAACACAGGAGGATCTTCATTAGTATCATACAACCAGCTTGACCCCCGTCATACAGGTAGAACAGGCAGATAAAGAGGTCAGGCAGACAATGTCTGACTAGTGATGGACTCACTGGTTGACAAACCTACGACTTGTTAATCTTTTAAGTAGAGGTGTTGTTGTAAATGACCACAGATGTGTCACAATCAGAGATGGATTTCTACTGTAACTGGATATACAGTATTTCTAACTCAAGGACTGTTTAAACTGTTATAAACTAGTTTAACCCACTGAACCCCAAATAGTTTCTGGGTGTTTTTTGCTCCTGTAACATTTTTACTCACTTTGGGCTCTATTTTTTTTTTTTTTTTACAATCCTGGAAACAGCACAACGCAATGTTTTCTTCTATTTTTTTTAACAGAATCCATGAAGAAACTTGTAGTATCACCTGTTTAAAGATGTTAAACACAGACACGCTGGGCTTGGTCTCATCCTCCATCAGATTTACCACTGGTCGCTTCTCTGGACTTTCTGGGAAACAAACAAACAAACAAACAGTTTATTTACATTGATCAAGTCACACCTGGAGTTCATTAACATGTTTGAGTTGCAACTGTACATGTGATCTTGGTCCTTGAGGATCTGTGTAGTTTGAGTTTAGGAATGTTGAGGAAAAGAAGATCTGCAGTAGCTCCTCATCAAGTTGAAATTTCATCATTACTCTGATGTTACTTTTATTTTGCTCTCATGTATCTCAGTTCGTTCTTCAAACAATGTACAAATGAGGGGACAACTTGTCTTCTAGTATGCCTAGCATGTGAAACGGTAACATTCACTCAGTAACAGGGACCTTTTGTTCGGAATCAGGTTTCGGAGAAGGTCATAGGTGATAAGAAACGTGGTGACTTTATGATTATTGTGTGACTGCAACCTTTAGAAAACTGACTTGTATCAAAATGTTCCACTGACAGAGAGATGAGGCTCATACATGAACACTTTTACTGAACTGTGCTGGCCATCTATTTGTTTGTGCCGATTATGGAATAAAAGGCAGAAGGACGAATATGCCAGGATTGCAGTAACACCTCTGAAAGAAACTTGCTCTCTTGTTTACATGCTATGGCCAATATCTTGTCTACCTGTGTGGACTCTCTACGTACCTTTTTTGAGTAAGTCCATCTTGTTCTCCTCATCAGCAGATGGTCTGGATCTATTACTCTCCATGTAGTACTGGAAGAACTCCTGTAGACAACAACAGCAACCACAATGAGCCCATTTCACTGAGCCAGTAGAGCAGAGACGAGAGGAAGAAAAGTTGTTCCCTGAGGTGTTGTAAATTCAACTGAGCTTTGAGCGACTATCAAAAAGCACATCTGAAATATTTCTTTCAAGTTCACAAAGCACTTTCTTGAAAGGTACACATTTATTCACAGCAAAACGGGAAGACAGTTGAAAGCTGATGCAACACAAATACGTTATGATAAAAAACAACAGAAAGAGAAACAACTTTAGACACTATGAGTTCTTACCATCTTGGGCAGAGCGATGTAGGAACCTATGGCCATGAGAATAACAACACAGGCTGTGATGAAGTAACCAAAAGCACTGTCCTGCAGTTTGGATCCAGCTGAAGGCAAAAGACAAGACACGTGGTATCGTTACTGCTTTGTGTTAATAAATAAAATCCTGTCAGTATTCCTCTACAGTCATATTTGATGGTCCAGTTGTTGATTTATGTTCTAGCAGGGCTGAAACTCTTATAACTTATACTGCTTATATTCTTGACAAATGGACTAAATGTTTAGTTTATGACAGGTCAAAAATAATTTAAAAAAATGCCAGTCACAATCTCCTAAAATAAAGCTGTCATCGCAATGCTTGTTTTTCCCAAACTACACTTCAAAACCAAATCATAATGACTTTACTGTTAAATAAAACAAAAAAGCAGCAGTTGCAGAACACGTGTGATGTTTCTGCATACGCTATCAGCTGCTAATGGTAGCACTAAGTAGAAAAACACTTCCCCTAATTCACCAGTTAACAATAGAAATGTGTGTGGGGAGACTTATCAAATTCAGCCTGCTGTAGCTGAAAAGATAAACAAATAAACTCTATTATTTTAGTAAAACGGTCATATCAAGTTACACGTAACTGAGCCAACAGCAGCTAAACCACCCTGAAGTTTTCAGAGCACTGAGGGAAAGACCTGTGCAAAAAGGACTTCAAAACTACTGTATTTGTAATCAGGGAGGTTACATTCAAAGAGCAGTCTGCAGGATTTTGTGCTAATCACTAAACATGACTTGCTTAGCCTGACTCAAACACATTTATTACTACAAATCTGCGTACAGGCCAGTGCGCAGATCATGGAGAAAGCAGCGAAGGCGCCGGCCAGCCCCTGTCCGCTCATGATGGGAGTGGTGTAGGAGGCAGGTAGAATCCCTGCCAGCCCGAACAGACTGCCCTGAAGGATCGCTCCGAACGCTGGCGAGGAACACACAAAGCAAGACAGGTTTAAGAATTAGTAACGTTTACAGAGTCACTATGAAACCGAAGAAACAAAGCGTTCCACAGCTACAGATAGAGGCCCATAAAACAACGTCTGCTGTCACAAACAGTAAGAAATGACACACTTTCTTCAAACAACATAGAACAAAGTAATTTGTGGACATAGCCGTTACATAACTTGTGTACCATTTTCTTTATCTCTCTTCACACAAAGTTGTGAAGTGTCATACAAACTCACAGCACATCAATTAATTACAAAACTTTAAACAGCAACTTTAGGACTAGCTGCAGAAACCTCATAACATGTGTCCACTAAGAGGAATGTGCCGCCATAGATATCAAAGCTTTGAGGTCACCACGTCCTCCCCTCTAAATGAAACATGATGGGCTGGTCCTCATGAGGACCTGAGGGTCAGGACTGGCCCACTGGGGATAAGGAGGGGGGTGAGCTTATCCCTGCTGCTCAGTGACTCTTTGTAAATAAATAAGCACAGCGAGATTACAGACTGTGTTCTGAAGCTCAGTGTGGTATGAGAAAGTGTGTGTGTGTGTGTGTGTGTGTGTGTGTGAGTGAGAATTTTCCCAACACAGTGAATGCAGCTGATTTTGATCAAAGGCGTAGAAGACACATGGAAATAATCATTCATATAAGCACATTGTGGACGGCAATCCCTAAACTAATGCACTACAGTGCAATGTCACTACAATTAATGCAACCCCTTCATTTAGCTTAGAATGTTTAGTTTCAGTTGTTTGAAACTTGTGGAGGTTGCCGTTTGTGTTGGAGCAGAATTGCATTGTGTAAGGAGAGGTTTCTAACATTTTGTCAACCCGTATTGATAAAAGTTAGCAGTTGCATTTACTGAAAAATCTGCAGAACCGCAAAGAGTAAAAGCACTATAAGGAGATGATGAGATTTAGGTTTGGTCCTGATCTGCTGCCAGGTCCACTGCTGCAACTAATAGAACACAGATTTTTTTTAAAAATTGTCTGTTGGTATTTATCCCAGAAAATACTCAATCAATAACAATAATTTCACACTGATTTATCAGAAAACTAAAGTGACGTCCACATTTCTGTTACTATGGGACCGTATCAGACCTCAATGCACTTGTTGAGTATCAAGTTTAAATGAAGAAAGCTTAAAGTTTAACTGCACTAACTGCACCTAACAAATAAGCAGCTACATTGAGAGTGCACTGAGTGGAAAAAATGGAGTCACATAACATGTTTAAACGCCCCTTTTATGGTCTATAGAGGCATCAAAACACAACAACTCGCAGTAATCAGTCTACACAATGGTCAGACACACCCAAAGTCTGATGCTTGTAGTATCAGGTAGGCTAATTTAGGATGGGTTATTACATCTCTGCTGCTTGTGCACCACCTGTTATTTTGCATACTAGGCTATATCTATTCATAATGTTCTCTGACTGTTGTTTTAATAGAGGTTTTTCCTGCAGTGATTAACAAAGTATCACGCCATTGCTATTTATTCAACTTTATAGACTTACAGTTGATGCAGACGATTTTGATCATAGTGAGGGTGAAGAAGGGCAGAGGGGCCATGTCCACTTTAACGATCACCGCTGTCAGCAGGAAAACCACAAAGATGACCGTCAAGCTGCCTGAAATTCGCAGCTTCTGAGGAATCCTGAAACACACAGACACTGGCAATTAAATTCACAAACCCACTACTAAGAAGAACCTTAGCCATAAGCAGCTGGTACATACATAACCGTTTGTATTTATTGAGTGATATTAATAACAAAGAGTACTGGGAGAAAAAAAGAGCCTAAAAACAAAGTGGACTATAATTCATCATTGAAATGTTTTCTGAGTGGTTAGAGAGTCATTGCTCTCTTCTTGTAAGAAAATACAGGCCAGTGGAAAATTAGAGTGAGCTTCAGTCAGTCCCAATGAGCAAGCCTTTCTTGATTGATGAGAACAAGAGGAGAGAAAAAACAGAAAAGAAGACTGAGGAAGACAGACACAGCAGGAAAAAAGGGAGAAAGTTTTTAAGAGAAGCAGGGAGAGGTAAAGAAGAAGATGGGGGGAACATAAATAGCATTCCTGGGTGTGTTTGTGCAGTGGAAGAGTCGGCCGTGGTCAGGGTCCACCCCAGATCCCTCTCAATCCGGCTCTAATTAAAAAAAACATACTGGGGGAATACAGACATACGTTGACATAACAGGATCGTATTACCTATAGTGGTACAGGGTGACCAAAGGGGAAGCAGGAAGGCAGAGTGGAAAAAGTCTGGATGTATAAAATGTGTAGAGAAGAGCACATAGAAGACAGACAAATCTACAGCGTTTTGTTTTCTAGGTCTTAGTATGATAGTACAAAGCAGGGTGGATACCTCTGATGTATGAAGGAGTTGAGGCAGGTGAAAATGAGCAGAGGCACCATGGCACACAGCGTCATCACGTTGTTAAACTTTGACTCCAGCACACTGCGAGTGTCTCCATCCTGTGAGGTCGCGTTGGCCGTCTGATTGGTCAAGACGTCGGAGGGCGAGTCCTTCAGTCTTTCGGTGAAGTACTGAAGAGAAGGACAAAATAATCCAAATTCATTACAGTGACTCTTGTGCAGCTCAACAGTAACATGGAGTCACAGGTTTAGGAGTGTAATTCAATCCCAGTGAAGTCAGCAATCTCGTTTGTTTTGTGGAAGGGAGACCTGGATAATAGGACGATGGCATAAAAATGGTAAATACTAAGAGGCATTGCTATGTGAATATATGAGCGTACTGTAGGACTGTTGTGCTAGACTACATTAGACCTGATAACCTGAAAACTGAGTGTACAGTAAAAGAGAAAGAGGTGGGAGGTTGCTGAATATAAATACACACATGATTCATTTCACAGTAGCCTCAACAGAAGGGCCTGACTGATTGTTAGAGTTTGGCTGGATTGTCATTATTGGAGCAACAACGTGCCCCGTTTATGTGAACACACAACTGCTTTGTATCTTGTCATTGCAACTCTGCACTGAGACTTAGGGAATTATTCCAGGGTAGGGGGTTTATACGGATCTCTGATCAATTACAGTCTGCTACAACACTAATTGTCATAGTATAATCATATCTGTAGTGCATGTTTTTAAAGAGTATTGTATTTATAAAAGGGCTTTCCAAAATTTCTTTGCCAAAACAAATAAGCTAAGTGAGCTTTAACAACAACAATTTCCTCTTAGGGTGAGTCCACATCAACTCTCTGAGGAAATTCCACATTTTAAGAAGTTAAACCCTAAAAGCTTAAAAAAAAGAATGGCTCGGATTAAGGAGACTACACCTCTGTCACAGAAATCCACCTGGCTGAAGTCATGCCAGCCATCCTGAGTGGATCCAGGTGGTTTTGGAAAGCAAGGCAAACAAACAACCATTGTTTTTCTCTAAGTGAGGTGACCTTCCGCTAAGTGGAGTCACCCTTTTAATTAACTCCCCGCTAAGCACAAAGGCACCAGGGCAGCTCTTCCTTTTACCTCCGTCTGTCTCTTATCAAGGATTAACTTCCATTCGCCTGCAGACATTCTCATATTCAAAAGATTACAACTGCCCTAAAGTGTTGCAGTTTACCATTGTTGCCGTCATGAAGAAATTCCACGGTAGGAGGGTTCCCAAGCCCAGGATGAAGAAAATGATCCATACTGCATTGTATCTGGGAAAGCAGCAAAAAAGAAACTCACATGAAAGTGCATAAGTCAAGTCATTTACCCCGACATCAACAAACACTTATCAGAAAGTTATTTGCTGGGTCTCATCCAAATCTCACTTTGGACAGACTGAAACTAACGGACGATATTGACAAAAATAGGTCTTTAGGAGACTTGAATAAACACACTTAAATTTCCTTTGTAAACAACTTCTCTTACTTGTCTCGAGGTGCGTTGATGGCCGTCATGGTTCCGTCAGACAGTCGGCGGCACGTGCTCAGCGTTCAATTAGGGTGGCAACAAGGTCTGCAACACACAGATAAGGAAACATGAAAAACATATAGCGGCAAAGCCAGACATCTTCATAATCAGCTGCCATCTGCCTCTCCTTTTTAGATTTTTACATTTTAACATATGGCTCGACAACAGTTTCATAATGGGATGTGTTGAGGGAAGTCCTGAAATCCACAGCAGTGTCACAGTCACACGCTTGACATCTTCCAGATAGGAAGCATCTCGCTTCTCACCTCTCCTCAGAGTGCACTTCTGGGAGGTTCGTGACATGTTCTGAAGGAAACGCGCAGTTCATGATAACATTTAATGTGTTTAGAAGTATGTCTCCACCACTAACATGCACTATTTATATACAGGGTAACAAACCACTAGTGCAGTTTGATTGATTTACGAATTGTTGTTTCTTGAGGAGGAGCTACTATTTATAAGAAAAGAATCAGAGCTTCTTCCAGGAGTTCAGGCCGCAGTAACGTTTTCCACTGCAGAGAGGCATAGAGTTGCTGTCTTGTTTATGTTTCTTTATTTTGTTCATCTTTAGTATGGGGAGTCTCCAGTTATCAGTTTCAGTTTTGGCTATCTGATCTGCACTATAAATAATCACATCCTGCATCTATTTCTCTTATTCCTCTTCAAAGTCTACAGATGCATTATTTCTTGGCCCTTCACATTCTTGTAAACAATCTTACAGACTGCATAATGTAATTGAAACAGAGCAGCAACAACAACAACAACAAAATGATAACAGACCAGTTTAGATAAAACGCACGGGTTCAGTTTAAAGTCAGCTCCAAATTTAGTGGTAGCATGCCATCAGCATTGCCACACCATCTCAAACTGTATGACACCGATGCCCGAACAGCGCTGCTTCCTAGTTTCTGTGTCGTCTCATAAATCATTGCAGAGTAAGACTAACCAGCCACAATAACAATGAGTAGGTAGAAACTCAAGCCGAAACAGCAGAGTTCCAAAAAAGCAGTTGTGAAATTCCAATGTCAGCCTTCAAACTGATCAGAAACACGTGCACATCTTCCAATGCATGCAAGAAAAACAAAAAAACAAAAAAAAGGAGAAGCATGCCAATTCTCATGAACCCTTTAAGAAAACTTACTTGGAGAAGAGTTTGAGCACAGACAGAATATCTCTCTTTCCACTGGTCAGATGTACAGCTAACACAAGGGCTGAGCGAGCTCTGCATGCTTCACTTTATACCATACAGAGGTTTCGTAGGTTGACACCCAACTGTCTTCTGCCCATTGGACCTGCCCCTCTTTGCATTGCAGCGTCCATCCCTCCCTCTTCCTTTCACCTCGTACACCCTGTTCTCCTCAACCCAGCCCTTCCTACACATTTTTACATTCCAAGCATGTGTGACCCTCTTTGGTGTATCCACGTCAACTCCTGGATGTGCATCATTTTGGGCGAACTGTGGCAAGAGCAAGGAATTTTGATTTTTTTTATTATTATATGATTCTTCATTGCTCTTGAGTCTCCTGCATTCACATTTCAATCTTTTCTGTTCTCCATATGATCCTATTTTTCAGTCTATAACACCCACATCCCCTTAATTTATTCCTCCATCCCCCCCTCTGGCCATATCTCCTGCTGCTTGTAATTTCTCACCTCATTTCTTCCACTGTTCCTCCTCAGCGCCTCTGTTGCTGTTATGTTCATGTCTGCTGTGTCCTTGGCCATTTTTGTGCATTTCGTATTCTCATCCTAGTCTCTTAACTTAGCCAACAGTATTTATGCTCTCTCCCCTCCTTTCTAGCAACTTCTAGAATCTGAGGGAAGACATATGCTCAGCTAGCTGTGTGATATCTTCTCTAAACAAAATAACTTCCTCCTTAAAAACACAAAGCGGTTTGGCATCCATTCAACCCAAACAACACAAAGCAAAGTTTAGGTTGTGTTAGCAACTTCACGGAAACTTAAATGCAATGAAAAGCACCACTAATTGGTCTCGAATTGTAAGAGGCTGATATGCTCTAAAAATGTACCCTGAGAAGTTTTTGACCACTTGAAGCACTACAGATACATGATTTTATGAAGAGAACCCAGTTTGGCTTGTTCTTGTGCATGTAAGGGAGGACGCAAATGAGTGACGCAATACAGATTCCTGCCAATGCTTTCAAACTATGCTGGCGATCTGGCGACGATGGGCCAAGTAATACAGAATGGCAGGACAAAGGCAGGAAAGAAGGAGACTGCTGACAAATAAGCGTGGATGTAAACAATGTAGGTTTAATGAGAAAGGAAATGCATTCAACATGTTTGTTTGTTTGTCCTGTGTAATTTAGTGAGTGACACTGAATGTACATAACTTACCATTTAAACAAGCTAAAATCATTTATCATGCGGACACAAATTTCAGTCGTTGGCAACGTTTTTTTTTTTTTAAATTCCTCTTTGTAACAGCTAACTGCACTATTAAGCGGTGGATTTTAGCAAAAGAAAACCTGATTAACTCAATAATTACATTAAGTAAACACAAGACTGCTATGTACAATTTGATTGAGTCCCAGCTGCATCGGCTGACAGCTCCTCTTTAAGGTCTTGTTGGTAGCAGACATGAAGAATCCCATGGTTGATCTGGCTGGTCATGAGTGTGCTGTGAGTCAGGACAGAGGGTCCTCTATATAAAGGAGGCCACACACACTATAGCCTGTTAGGTATCATGCATCGTAACTTCACGTGACTGATTGAGCAGAGTCGAACTAACCCACTGTCTGTGAGGAAGGTCTATACGGCATGTGAAACGGGACAAAAGTTCAGCGAAACATTGGGATAAATGTGAGGTATGTAAACATGTCAGAGGATAGGTAGTATCTAGACAGCATGGTCAGCCAGGAGCTACTGTACCGACTCCACAACCTGGTTAGCGCAAACTTTCTTTTTTATTTGCCAATTCTTAAACGAGACAAGTGGTTGTGATAAAAGATCGTGACTTTAAGTTTAGATCTGGTAAAGCTTTCCGATGGAACAGAGCACCACAGATGAGTAGTTCAATGGCTGTCGGAAAGTTGTAAATCTGCAGATTCTGAATTAAATTCTTAAAACAGCACACTTCTACAGTCCACCAGCAGGTTTTGGGGTTCATTTAAATATTGAATCTTGTCTCTAAATTTGATAGGAGCATGCTCATGTGTACCACATTTTGATGGCTTGGTTTGAACTTTTGGGCATATTCGGTGATTTTATCCACAGAAGAAAAACGTGGGTCGAGCCTGAAGTGGCCTTAGGCTTTGGTAATCCCATCTCTTGAACAAATGTTAAATGCCAGGCCTGAGAGGACTGTGCCTGACGATTTTCCGAACAAGACAGTCTCACATTTACACCTCATTTCCGCCGTGACTGGTCGGCTGTGCAGAGGTGAGAAAGATCCTATGATTGATCTTCTTTCTAGCTTCTTTTTTATTTTCTACACAAGTGCTTTTGTCATCTTAATGTGTCATGAGTAAATGGCTTCCAGACCAGGAGACACTGACAATGCACAGTTACCACATTGATCTCTCTGTATGACAGCCTGCCTCTGAGGTTGGCTGTTTGGAACAACTTTAAACACCTCATTTTCGGATGTGGTTGGACAACACGTTCAACAAGCTTTGTTTAACTTGCCTAACCCTAAAAAGCTGCCAGAATTCAATGCGTGCCTCTGCCTAAAGGCATTTAATGCCTCTGTGAATTTTAAATGGTCGTTTCAGAAACACAAAGCCAAATTAGTATTTTACACTTGGCTGTCTTCTTTCTCTCTCCATCTGGTTGTCACGACAAATGTCAAACCTCTCAGTGCAAACTTCATCACAGCCAGCGGCAAAACGGACACAAGAGCACGTCACAGTTTAAAGCACTCCGGCTTAGCCATGTCCCAGATTCCTGTAAAGTATGCCTCTCTCAACCTAACGTGTCGTCACTGCGAGCCAGCTGGCATAAGTTTCCTGGTGCTGAAATGGTGCCCGCCCCACACACACTCACATGGGCACTTTGCAGTCTGTGGAGTGGTACACTTTAACACTTTCACTAGTCGGCCTTTCAGGGAACAACAACCAGCACTCCAGTGAACAAAGATTTAACAGCAGAGACCGTAATTTATTGTTTCCTCCTCCAATGTCAAGGTATAAAAAAAGAGAAAAAAGGTTTAACTAGGGCAGTTAAGACCAGTCTGCCTCCCATAGCTGCAACTGTGTCCAAAATTTCAATCATGTGAAAAATCTGGTCGGATCACACCATAACGTGTTTTATTTAAATTCACACAATGTTTTAATTACCAAAACCTACAGTTTTTTATGCACTATGATTTAAAAAAAACAAACAAATTTTGGTCAATCTCTGTAGTATCTATGCATTACGTGAAACATCTCACAGCTCAATAAACCTTTTCTAAAACAATATTTATAGTAATAGATCATTAGAACCTGGGGGTGTTGTTGTTTTGCGTTAATATTATGAATTGAATTCAATCCTCATGTAAATTTAAAAGCCATTTATGTTCTCCTCACTGCATTCACTGTTCTCAATCAAAACGTTGAGTTCTTATTCCACCTTTTCTTAATATTAAAGCCAAAATGTGACTTCTATAGGTTATAATGTAAATGAACATGTAGATCTTGACAAATGAGTTCACACAATGTTGATTAAGCCTATCAATGACAGGTGAACCTCTCTGCATTATAACAGACTTTTAAATCTGGCATTGATGGCAACATTTCCACACTGGTGCAATGTGTTTTATGCCAACAGGCAATGGTTGCTTTGACAGCATTTGTGAGTGTAGTAGCTGTAGCAACTGAGATGAAGTACATAAAGTAAATTTAAAAAACTTGTTGTTCAGTGAAAGGATTACGGTCTAAAAAAGACAGCGACTGACAGTGAGCCACAGGTCATGAGCTCGCATCAACAGTACTTGTGTAGTTACTTTCTCTGCCAGAAAAGGCAGACAAAAGTTCCACACTGCAGGTTTACGTATAACCAGTATTCAGAGCTACTGCTGCAGGCATTTTTACAAACCAGCATGC